TCTGATGATATATTAGAGCTGCAGGAATAACAACAATTAGAATTAATGTAATATCAAACACTAAAAATATTGATAATGAATAAAAAAATAAGTTTTTTTTGAAAGCATATCTTCATAAATATATGGAGTTTAAATATAGAATAATCTACATTTTGTTCTATAAGAAGTCAACGCTATAAAGTGTCATTTTCATATTGAGATACCCATTCTATATTTTCAGAAAGAAACATGAAATTGAATAGTACATCTTTGACGTCTCGTCAACACGAATATATGCGACATCTTTTGTAAGAAGCTTCTCTTCTGTTCTGTTGTACCGTACTGTGTTATTACTCAATATGAATTTGTTTCAATTTAATATGTCGTTACGTACAACCAACGTGTGGAGGTCCGAAAGTGATGGTTTATCTATAATTGTCATGTACTGTTATCCTAACCTTACCATCATTAACTCATGACTTCCTTTTTTGTAAAAAAAGAAAAGACCTTAGGGTTTTGATGGGTATATTTTCATTTTTGCGTGTTTTTTTTAAACAAAACATACCAAAAGAAAAAGGAAGAAAAGAAGTGTATTTTTATTTGTTTAAGATTGTATTTGTGCTAGTCATGCATGAATTATGGACAGAATATATCCCACCTATTCAATCTTAAGTTTGATAATTTGCATATTATGAACTCACTTGATGAACAATTTAATAATTGTTACAAAACTGAAGAGAAAAATTGCTTAATATAAAAGAAATTACTAATGTATCTGTCTTTCTTAAACAGTATGAGTTCAGTAGTCATGTATACGACGATCTATAATGTTATGTTGATCATGTTTGTCGAGTATAATGGATGCAAATTTCTACCCTCAAACACTTTAACACTAGGGTAGCTGTGGTTAAAAGAAAATATCCACACTCACACCCAACGAAATCAGAGAACCGATAGAAAAACAAAAAGAAAAGTTTTTCCAATGTGAAGTTTTCATTTGTTGTTGTTAATCTATGAATTCCATGTAAAAGTCAAGCTAGATCTGTAATAATCATATCTCTACATTATAAAAAATATTCTATAATTTCTATTGTAAAAAATTAAGAAAAAAAATGCACAAATATCTAATAATTTTTTCTTTAGTCAATATATTCTTTCAGAAGAAAATAAATACTTTTATACACTGTATCAGCATATTTACAAACGTCAACTTTCAAATATACTTTTATGAGCTTGTACGCTTCGCATGCTATCGATAAAACATGTTCTGATAAACTCCGCTTGTAGTCAAATATATAAAAACACCTTATCAATTAATGAAAGAATGTTTTGACATGTCCCAATCCATATTAAATTATTGTTTGCCTATAATGATTATATAGTATCTATTACACACCATTTTATATCGCCAAACAATCATAAAAAAACCTTGTCTACATTTATTGTGTCTGTTCTGTAATTTTTACAGCTAACATCATTCGTTTTCCTATTTCTTTAATAAATAGTTGCAACGCTGTGCGAAACTAATAATAAAACAAACGCCTACCCATTTAATCTGGAGAGAAAACAACAACACATCATATAACTAACATAACAACTACATAGCACACATTTCAGCAATATTCAACAATGGCAAATCAAACTACCGCTACCTTCTTAACATTACCGGTAGAACTTGTCTACCGGATTCTGGATCATCAATCAGATTTTACAATATTATGCTCAATGAGAAACGTATGTGAACGATTCAACAACATCCTAGACAGTTATGATGGATATCAGGTAACCTTCTTTCTATCATCACACTGTAATTTTTATCTATCGGCCTTCAAATTATTTTTCATTCCTACAATTTCTTCCTAAAAAAAAGTTTTTGTGTCATCACAATATAAAAATAATACATAGATAATCACGAAAGAAAAACTTCTTTTCCTCTTTCTATTCAATCTTTTTTGAATGCTCCGCATTTTCAATCAAGTATGATGTCAATAACATATAGTATTTAGATCAGAACGAAACAAAAGGATTAATACATTGTAATTTGCTTTAACATGTATGTAGACACGTTTTTTAAATACTATTTCTATATTAAAATTAGATTTTGAAAGAAATATACGATATATAAACTAGTTTATCTTGTTATAAATAACGTCGTGAAATTTCCCTTGAGAAATATATCTAACTAATGCTCCTTTGAGAGCATAAGCGACTGTGGATGTGAATCGCCAGAACATTGACCCATAACAGCATCTACGTTCTCCTCCAATCACATCCATATCATTAAGGTGCAATATTACTTCTAAGGCAAATGTTTTCCCACAGTAATTATTTTGAAACGCATTTCAACTGAAACAAACTTTCTCAAGGAAGAATTATAAGGATAATTCATTATCAGACTTAGAAGTCCAGGGCTATTCATAATGGATACTTTTTGTACGACAATTTAGCATTTAATCGCCTTCTACTGAATAAAATATTATGAAATAAATTGTTTGACTTTTCGCTTTTGATAACTCAACGTTGTTTCATGCACATAGTCGTATATTGCCATCAAACGCAACAATCACGATCAATATATTCCCCCATCAATATAAATCATATGCATGAATCAAACGAAGTTAGATAACACTCAAGGTTTTTGTGAGAGCCATACTTTAGGTCACATCGATAGATATGGAAGAAACTCGTCCATCCACCACTCTAAAGAAACTATTCTTGTCATATCTGGAGAACACTAGCACGTGATGTGCCATACTTTATTACGCTCCAAAACATTAATTCCAGTACTTTGCGCTTTAGGCATATAATCAAACGCTTTACAATTGCTTTTACCCGGAGTAATTTTCACACTATTATTCATTTACCAGAATTTTTCCTTCATTCACAAACATTTAAGAATTCTACCAACATATAGGCGAAAAATTTCTATCCATGCGTCACCTTTAGTAACTTTATTTTAATCCAGTTCTTCATGCGATATTCTTGAGCACTGTATAGAATCTAAAACCCTGGAAATATTCACACTGATATTGATACGATCCTCAACAAAGTCACACCAACATACATTACACTGATCTAACAGAAGATAGCAGCAACCAATAATTCTCTTCATTCATCTGTACTATATCTATATCTGCACTTTTTTACCTAGGCACTCACCACACTAGACCTCCAAGGTAAACAAATCGGGCCTGTTGAAGCAATGCATTTGGCTAATGGATTACGACATAACACAGTAATTATCATTTATTCGTCATTTATAGCACATCTTTATCTGCACTGTTTCATCTAGACACTCACCATATTAGATCTAGGAAGCAATAAAATCGGACCTGTTGGAGCAAAACATTTGACTGATGGACTACGGCATAACACAGTAATTACCATTCTCTCTTGGTATAAACTATGTCTTCACCGGCACGTTTTCACCAACCCACTCACCATATTAGATCTCAGATCGAATGGTATCGGAGCTATTGGAGTAAAACATGTGGCTGATGTATTACGACATAGCACAGTAATTATCACTTTCTCTTCATCTATACCATGTCTTTACCTGCACTTTTTCATCTAGACACTCGCAACACTAAATCTCAGATGGAATCAAATTGGAGCTGTTGGAGCAAAATATTTGGCTAATGGACTACGGCATAACACAGTAATTACCATTCTCTCTTCATCTATACCATTTCTTAACCAGCGCTTTTCCATTTAGACACTCACCACACTAAATCTTGAAAGTAATGACATCGGAGCTGTTGGAGCAAAACATTTGGTTAATGGACTACGACATAACACAGTAATTAGCATTCTCTCTTCATCTATACTATGTCTCTCCCTGCACTTTTTCATCTAGACACTCATCACACTAAATCTTGAAAATAATCAAATCAAAGCTGCTGGAGTACAATATTTGGCTGACGTATTACGACATAACACAGTAATAAGTATTTTCTCTTCATCTGTACCATGTCTTCACTTGCTCTTCTTCATCTAGACACTCACAACACTAAATCTGGGATGGAATCGAATCGGAGCTGTTGGAGCAAAACATTTGGCTGATGGACTACGGCATAACACAGTAATTACCATTCTCTCTTCATCTATACTATGTCTTCACCGGCACGTTTTCACCAACCCACTCACCATATTAGATCTCAGATCGAATGGTATCGGAGCTATTGGAGTAAAACATGTGGCTGATGTATTACGACATAACACAGTAATTATCATTCTCTCCTACTATATACTATGTCTTTACTTGCACATTCTCATCTAGACACTCATCGCACTAGATGTCACAGATAATCAAATTGGATACGATATGAAACGTGAAATCAATGAATATGTTGCACGTAATGAAAGAGCTAGAAAACTATGAAAGTTAATACCGAATATATTTCGATAGCGGACATGAAACTAATGATGATGATGATTATTTTTTTCTTGTAATGTACTCATCATGAACACCATAAATAAAACTGCTTGTTTTCCATCTTAATCTGTATCGTGGTGATGATATTTGCTTAGAGCTTTTGCTATGATGGGAAGGAAATTTTGCAAAAGAAAACAATGAAGCTTGAGGGTGTGTATGGTGCGAATACTGTATTCACCTAGCACTCATACCCATACTCTGATCTAAATAATAACAGCTATACAAGTGTTGCATAATAATACTTATAACACAGTCTATGACGTTTATAACTGATTTTTCTCGAATACAGTTAGACCGAGTATGTAGATTACATAGCATACAACTCTAAAATATTGAAATTCATTGTGTACTAAAGACAAAAAGGTTTAATCTTTCTGTTGTCTATGATAGACAGGAATATTTGTAATAGAATGATTATTTGATACGAACTCAATTAATAAACGCAGTTCTATTCATTTAAAAAAATCATAATATTTTTTATTAATTAAACAACTTTAGTTTCATTCATAATCATAACTAGATATTCATATATACTGTGTAAAACCGCGACTAATTAGTATCAACAATGGACAGGGGTATAAAATAATATTCTTAGAAACATTTAGTAAAAAGATTCTATTGCTTGATCAGCTAATAACAAACAAGCGTATCAATGACGTATGTCGTTTGGAGATGAAGATTTCATTAATATGAAGAGATATTCTCAAATTTCACATAATAAAAATATCTCGATAATACTAAATCAATATATTCAATGTTTTTTGTATGTTCCAATAAGTGGATATTTATGAATTGTAATAGAGAAGAAAAACATTTGATATAATTAAGAGAATCATGTAAATAATCCATCATAACACATCTCTATTGTGTTATATCATCTTTCATCCTTTATATGTTCTGTCAAGAAAAATATTATTTAAACTTATTTATTTCTAAGAAAAAGCCTCAGTGATGGTAGTGATTTGTCTTTCAGAAGAAACAAGGTATGTATAAAGAGATAAAAGTAAATAGTGAAGTATACGAATTCAACTGTCAAGTTACACAATACTGATCTGTTTGAGATTCTTACATCAGTTAATACAGTAGATAAAACAATATCAGGATCAATTATTCAGTTTTACAATGAAATAATATTTTAATATAAATTATCAATTTAACATCACTTACTCCTTCTTTCTGTATATATAATTATTCTCCTTATAGATAAACTGTTGGAAAAATTATTTAAGTAATAAATAAATCAATAAGATATTACGAGCATGTATTGACACGTAAAGTATAACGCAAAAAATACTGACCTTAAATATTTTTTTTAATATTCCAATAATATATATTGTTATCGTAAATAAACCATAAGTTTATAGTTGATAAATCTGATAATTAATCAACAAGAATATTCGCGCGTGAACGCAGAAACAAACTATTATGAATGAAAAGCAACGCAGCTGTTAGAAAAATGAATTCAAATATTTAACGGCAAATATCTTTTTAGACTAGCTAAAATAGACAAAAAGTAACAAATATGTTAAGTTTTTTTATGATCGGATAAAAGGATAGTTTTCGTAATTTCTCCTTACATTTTTATTAATCTTCAAGAACAAATACGATCATTTATTTGTTTGCATGTGTAAATTTTTCTTTAGACAAGATAAAAACAATTGATCTATAATTCTCTAATTTTTCATTGAGATTTCATTAAAAAAAAGTTAATATTTATTTTACTTGTATAAAAACATCAATAAGATGGATTGCGAAATATATCGCAAGTTACACTATTTTTTATGAAATAAAAAGTTTAGAGAAAAACAAATCCGATCTTTTATGAAATATCTAAACTTACTCTGAGTATATTTTATTACGAAAAAATGCATTATTCATTCAATTTGAAAGAGTACTACCGATTTTAACTCTCGTATGAATATGGCTGAATAGGAAAAAACCTCCGAGCCATAGTCCGATGATGATTGTATATTAGAAGTATTACGCTGAAATGCTACTGCACGTGTTACTAATGTAGTATATGAAAATTATCATTTAAGCTCGCTAATTATTATACAGTCTTTCTTATCGATTTAAACAATAAAATAAATACTGATGTTTTTAATCGTTTAGCTTTAACATTTAAAAGAATGTCATCGAACCATTTTTATTTATATCTGATTATTTAAAATACGATATATAATGAATATATTTTTGTTTTTCATTTTTGCAGGTAATCGAAAGAAAAAGTAATGACACATTTCAGACACAAGATATCAATTATCTTCAAATATATAATTGCAACAAATACAAAAGATAATTTCTAGAATCATTTTCTTTTATTCTTTGAGTCTTTCATACACGTATCCTATCTGTGTCTTTGAAGGAGCGCAAAATCAACTGATAGAAAAGAAAAATAATGGATGATATACATTTTTTTTTTCGTTTCTTTTGAAGATATATGAGATGATAAGTGATATGAGAATCTTATTGTAAGTTGCAAGTTCGGGAGATATATACGATCATATTTAAGTGTTTGTAAAAGTCTTACAAATATTAATAAGTCAAGGAAGTAAACAAAGAAAAAATATCATATCACATTATGACTTGAAGTTTTTGATTATCTTGATCGGATCATAATAGTGAATTCGCGATGATTTTATTCTTTTAACATTATCGTTTTCTTCAACGATTGTGTCAAGAATGATTAGAAAAAAAACATTAGATATTATTACAATGATTTAATGCTTCTTATTCTTTTTTTTTCTTCATATTAAACCATTTGTTGATAAGAAAAACGATTGAAACATATACAAAAATTCGACTGATAGCAATAAATTATAATTCAAGTATGCTAAATCATTATAAAGGTATCTTTTCTATCAGTATATTATACCTTCAATAGTAAACTAAAGAAGAAAAAAAACAACAGTATATTTATTTTTAGAAAGATGAGCTGTTTTTCAAGAATTCTAAGTTTTCTGTTTAAGCGTGTAGATGAATATGGCAATATTTCACCTATTTTATGTTATTTCGAATGAATATCAATTTTTTTTCAAGAAAACATTTCAAATAATTCTGTCATCATGCTAGTTAATCGTTCGAGTGATGAATCAGTTAGCTACGATAATGAAGTATACACAATCAAATGAAATGGCAACAAACAGTGTTCATATATAAGATTTGTCGGACAGAACTGACACAGATGTAATAATTGTGAATATTCAGCTATAGTTAAATATCGTTAGTAATCAACAAAATGCCATATTTACTGCATACATATCAACATCCACAAGATTATTTTTAACGATAACAAATTTATTCTTTTGAAAGTTATAATAAAACAATTTTTTTTTCTTGATAATAGTTTTATTTTTATTGTTCTTTTTTTTAATATATATTGCTCCTCAATCGTATCATTTATAAGAAAAAAAGTATGAAGATTTGCGAAGAAGTTATACCTCCACATAATCTCTTCTTCTTTAAAAATCGTATAATACCAAATAATAATTGTATGAATGATCTATATATAGAGAGAGAGAAATGGCATCAAACTTTTTATGATTTTTTTTTATAATTGTTATTGAATATAATTTTTAATACGTCAATTTATCGTTGATTATTCTACGATGAACTGGTGATAGTGGAGTTCATACTCACAAATCCTTCAAAATTCATGTTTTATTAAAATAGAAAAAATTAATTTTATCGATTATTTCTTACTTGCCTACTCGTTCGTTTGCCTTTGTGTTGCGAATTTATTTTTTTATTATTTTACCCTCAAAAAGATCAAGTGATCATCTAGATTATTCGAATTATATCTGAATCACATGATCGCATTACTCACAAGTGCAGCGCATAAAATTCTCTTATCATAAAGTAATAACCAATAAAACAGCTAAAAGCATAAAAATAAATTACCTTTTTATACAATAAATCTAAGTCAATTATATCGTTAAATTGTCAGAAACAAAAAAAAGTTATTAAGACTCCTCATTGAAATCTAATCTTACAATAAATCTTATTCATCTCATATGACATTCTAAGATATTCGAATCCCTTTATATTTTAAGAATAATAAAATCTGGTCAGCTGAGAGTAATAAAATATAGATAAAAAACTTCGATAACAATCATTACATCAGTTTCTTCAATCCTATTTAAACTATGTCGAAAACGACAAATGCATTTCATTTTGTGAATTAACATTCGATCATGTTCATCTCTCTACTTCTTATTACAATAGCATCTATCTGCTTCAATGAAAATATTAGAAGTGTTGATGCAGCTACAATAGCGGAAAATACAGCTTGGTGTAAAAAGTGGTATGATGCTGAACCGCATCCATCCGTATTTATGGCACTAACACCAAAATGTCCTTGTCATATGCCTGCACACTTTCCAAGTCAATATAATGATGGTACTCGTATATGGAAAACAGATTCAGGTTGTCAAGCAAGTAGTCAACCAAATACATGCAGTTATCATAAAGGTGCATGGGGATGTTATCGTTTTGCACCTAAAAGCTCTGGACCTGGTTCTCAATGTTGTTATACTAAAGATGGTAAGTATATGGATGATCCATTTGAAGGTGCTGGTACATTAGATCGTGAATGTGCACCTGAAAATTTTTTCAATCTATTTCAATGGCTTGCACACAATGATCATGATGTCGTACCTTATGACAAATGTTGTGCAGATTTACCCATGCCAAGAGAAGTTTGTGGATGGTATTATGACAGACGACCATCCATGGGATGTGTGAATTAACAATAATCAATATAAAACTGACACAAATAAAAGAAACATCTTTTTTTTGCAAAAATTCAAATAGAAACTATGAATTGTTTGTCATTTTCTTAAAGAAAAATAAATAAACAAGAAAAATGATATTTTGTTACAATAGTTAGAAATATCATACCTATCAATTGTTCATTAAAACTTAAACATTGATTACTCATGTCTAAATAGAAATCACTACTACTACTTTCAATTAGTTTATACTAGAAGTATACTAAATTAATACAGATATAAACAATCATCGATTTTGTTTTCTTCATTTATTTCAAGTTATTCTAATCATAATGATATTGTTTTTCTAGTTTAACGATAAATTTTATATGAAATCATGAGGATGTGGTTGAAATAAAATATCTGCACTCTCAATTATATATATTATCCAAAGAGAAGTAGTCATCATCAACATAATACTGTAGCTATTGTGATAAATACTAAAAATTGTATATGCAGTATTTGATGTAAAGATGTCATCTGTAATAATACTATCTTATTCTAGAAAAAAATAGAATAATTTTTTTATATCTTTTTTATAACGTCTAGTCATGATAAACAATTAAAAATTTATTTTATTAACGATAAAATACATTTATCTCATCTTACATGTGCTTTTCTTTTTTCAATTTTCTGCTCTTTAAATTATTTAATATATATATTAATGTATTTTTATAGTTCGACAAAGTCGAATTTGTCAATATATGATAAATCTTCATTAGTATTGATAACAAATTAATCTGGTGAACGGCGCGCTTTTCTTTCGTTTTTTCAATGTATCTTTTAATTAAATAATGTTATCGAAGATATGCAATCGGATCGTCATATCTGTTGAACTAATAACTTTTTAATTGAATTTGGTAAGTTATATAAATTATAGGTCGAGTAAACTAATAATCACAATATACGATTAGGAAATAAACTGTACAGTAAAATCTCGTAAACCTTTTGATTTAATAGTCTTGTTAGGAAGTCAATCTAGAAATAATAGAGATGAAAACTGAACTATTGAGCTTGAAAATACAAAAAAACAAAGTTTTTTTCCATTGCAATCATTAGATGTATCTAACTTAATCATATAATTTACTCTAAAAAAAATCTGTTTGTCAACGACTATTTACAACGGCAGTAAATTCTGTAATGCTTTTCTAAGATGTTTTTTTTCACAACACTTTAATAATTATTAAATCAACGAAGAAATTTTTTTTCAATATGATTACTGAATAGTATCACATTGTTTGAGAAAATATAACCATTCGAAAAAGATCAAAGATCTAACAAATAAAAGAATTATTGTATAGAAAAAAACAATGATGTTTTTATATAAATGTGTTTATTATCATCTACATCACACACATTCGAAGTCAAATACAAAAGAAAAATATGACTAATTCGTTATATTAACATTCTTGATATATACGCAATATATATAACCGTAAAATATCTTTTTTTAATGCTAAATAGTTAGTAAATATTAAAAAAAAAGAACGATTATGACGATTTTATATTATAATCAAACTTAATCAGAAAAAAAATACGGTCAAATAAAATACATGATAAAATAATATCGATATTCTTTTTCTTTTTTTCTTGTTGTTTGGACACAGTAATCGATGTGAAGTTAATAGACACGCATGGAAAGGTAAATTTGATGATAATTAACAAACAGTTAAAATCAAACGATAAATACAATATATAATGTGGCATAAAAATACTTCATATATATACATACATCTCATTTTTGTTTTAGATTAAAGTAACAATAATGAATATCGGATTAGAACTGGATGTTAATCTTGAACAAATTCAAACAGATGGACATATTGATTCAATTTCTATTACATTAGATCTAGAAACAGCTTCTGCTGATGATAGTCATGAGTCAGTTATACTGTATAATTATTTTCTTTTGTAAAACAAATCGAATTTATATTTAGTTTTAATAGAAATACTTCTAATAAAAAATCATTATCATCTATCAAATTTTGCTCAATCTTTGCTGCTAACTCTTTAATCATGGGGATTTGAAACACAAGATTTTCAGTTTTGAAAAACATCGGCCGTCATCTACAAAAATTACGCACGAATTCAATTCATTTCGCGTTATTTGTTCGAGATATGTGAGGTCATGAAAATTTACCAGAAAGAGAAGAAGCAATGCTTTGATATGAAATTCAAAATAAATTTAACGTACAATACATTACTGAAAAGGGCACTTTTTTTATTGCAACAATCATTATTGATCGTGATGATTTTATCCTCCTTCGATATAATAAATATTTGAAGAAAATAGAAATGATATTGCTAAGCATTTGGAGTTGCAAACACTTTTTTTTAGAGATGTCCACTTTTCAGAAACATTCTGAAATAGTGTTCGTGGTACACAAGTTGTAGTTCAGATATTGCTCTTTCAAATAAAAATATTCTATTGATCTTGAAGTTGATAATATGGTCTAATCGACTTTGGCATTATTTCCATTTCTTTTGCAACGCATGTTAGTTATTCAAGTCAACTCACGTCACAAACACTTTCATTGTTAAAATCTATTTGATAACTTTGATTGAGAATATGACTTTTAAAATTAAATATCAGAATAATCAGATCTCTCTAAAGAAATTATACAATAAACATAGATTGTTTCTAAGAACTCGATAAGATGAAAATAAGAATATTTTCTAAAAATATTACTGATGAGTATTGTTAAACAAAATCTACGATACAACTAATCTTTGAATAAACTGATGTTGGAGCAATTTTAGATGATGCTGAAGAAATAGTTACATTCAATGAAAGCATTTTCTCTTTTCTGTTTTACGTTCATTAATTTTGAATTTCTTTTTTGATAATAAGATATTTTAATATATCAAATTTGTTTCATATATAGTTATATCGTAGAGAATTATGCAAAAATAGTGTAATATTACAAAACTTTCACAGAAACAAAACTATTCATCTTAATTATATCAGCGATAGAACTACGATTCAATGACTTTCAAGATTTGTTTTTCTTTTCCAATAGTTGACAATGATATTAGTGAAATAAAGCATGATGCGACAAATCAAATTCCTTAAGACTAACTATTGAATCTTCTGAGAAAAAAAACCGTCAATGAATTGTATCATGTCAACATTTCACTATACTAATATCGAAAAAAAAATTATTGTTAAACAAACTAGATATTAGAATACAATCTGGCTGTACTTTCGAATAATTTCTAATGCTATTAGAATTAGATTCTTGCTAATAAGAAGATTTATCGATATTTATTTGTGATGTTTGAGGGTGTGAGTGTGGGTATGAGAATACAAGTATGGATCAGTCGAAGATCAATCTCCTCATCCCACGCTCTTTACAGATGTTATTTCTAATAAAGAATTCAATAGAGTGATCGATAGTTTTTTTTTCGGATATCAAAAATGAATTAGAACATCAATACACATTAAAGAAATTATTTTTTTCATTTCTATCAAAAGCATTTTAGAATATGATACGTTTTGAAATAATTAATCTTGTATACTTGACTAATTTTTCATTAGATTCAGTGTACATTTCACTATCAAAATTGGAATTTGAATCAACTAAAATTTCTTTTTTACGTAAATTTTGAAAAGTGATGTGAACAAAGTTTTGTTTTTGTATACGTGTAAGTTCGATTTAATCGTCTAACACGTGAGAAGATGTATACATAAAAACGGAGATGATTAATCAAGGTATAGTCATCTGGTTTTTTTTTATTATCCAAATGATTATTTTTATTAATAAATCTGTCTGAGATCAAAATTTTTCTTTTGATATATCACCCATATATCACATGATTATAAAACAATGGCTTGTAATCGTCTTGCATGTGACTTATTTTATTATTCAACAAGAAGATTAACAATGCTTTAACGATATCAATTGTTTGACATACATAATCATTAATCATTCGAATAAAATACAGAATCTATGTATTCAAGTGAATCAATGAGAAGTATATAAAGACGTATATCGTAATAGATATTCTTCATTACAAAAATGAAATCTATTTCATTGGCTTTATTTGGCTTGTTCACTGTTTTATTCATTAATGGTCTTCCATTTAATGTCAAAAGCAACGATGGAAGTGATTGTAACTACATTTCTGCTACAGATCCTTGTGATACATGGTACAAGCAGCAAGGTAATTCCACAACTCTTGTGGATGGAACACCAAAACCACCATGTCAAATTTCAAAAGACTTTACGAGCCCATTGCCTAATGTTGCTGGTAATTGGATAACAGATGAAACATGTAATCCAAAGCAGATTATTGGCAAATGTCTATTCCATCCAGGGGCATACGGCTGTTATCGAAGTTGTGTAGGTACAACAGGACCAAGTGGTCAAGCATGTTATGACATAAATGGTAAATTTATTGAACAGTCTCAACCAGGTGCTGGTTCAGTTGACGCAGAAACTATATGTGGTAACTCACTGCCCCAGGGCGTAAAACACTTTTGTGCTGATGTTTTGCCATATATTCTATGTTGTGAATTTCCTGGTACTAGTTCACCAGACAATTGCAACAAATACAATCAAGCACGTCCAGTAGGAACATGTCAAGGTACATCTGCTTTTTGAAAAATTAATCCTAAAAAGTTTTGTTATGCTCGCTTTTTTGAATATTAAATAAATATCAATATGTACACGCATAAATCGTGTCAAATTACTTTTTTGATACATTGATCATAATCAATGGAAGAATGAAAATGTAAATAATATTGTAGAGCATACAGAACTATGCTTGTTATCAAGGCAATTCTGAACAAAATGTTTATCAGAGAATTATTAATTGTACAGAGCAAAATGATTAAATTTACAAGAAGTTGAGCGATTATCTTCTTTACAGCGATGTACCACCAATAGAAAGTGTTAAAATATAATAATTTCTATTGATGTCCTTTTTCGTTCTAATTAACTATGAATAACAAAATGCGTCATAAATGAAATTTAAACGTCAATATTATAATTTCTGTAGGCTAGCTATTTTCATTAAAAGTTTGTACTTTTTTATAGAAGGGTATAAATATTTTCTAGAAAACAATATTAATGTCTGCACTATGAAAAAGCCGAAAGTTATTTCTTATCTTTATTAATATCTGAATATTTGTTCTTCACTTAAATTTCACTTGTAATATCTATATTGACAACATGGATCAAACTATGTCTATACTTATAATAGTAGAGATAACATTATATGTATTAATTATTGTATGTTCATGCATATATTTGATTATAAAATATGTATTATCTACTTTTTATCTTGATGTGTATAATGCTAATCCAAATCTATGTCCATTTCATCAATATATTCAAACATTTGTTCTTTGTCAAGTTGTTTATGCATTATGTTTAGTTTCTATTCATCGATTATATGTATTATTGCTTATTCACAAAAATGTTTATTAAAAACAAAAAAATGGGCTGCTATATGTATTTTAATTCAATGGATATTTTCTATAATTATATCAATTCCAACAATATGCATTACAGAAGATGTAATCAAACAAAAAAAGAATAATAATCTATCCTTTTTGTTTTTTTTTCTTATATTTATAGGAATGTAATAATGATATTCCATTATGGTTTAATATTTACCAACTTATTGTTATCTATGCTTATACTTCTACACGTCGATTAGCTCCTGCACAAGGAACGATAGCAATAATACGAAGTACATCATTATCAAAACGAGATACTTATGTTCTTAAACATATGCTTTTTATGTTTATTGTATATGTAGCTGGTTGGGCACCCATATTTTTCTGTATAGTTCTTGAACCACCATAGTTTAATTACTTAATATTTTCTTTTATGCAATTATTACCACAATTAAGTATGTTAATAGATATTCTTGATTTAATTTTTTATAATCATGACTTACGAAATTATTTAAAAAGAAATATTTTTTTTATTCGACGATATGTAATGAATACTATAGTAATAGCCACAGGTATTCAAGTACATCCTACATAAAATTAATTATATTTTCAATTTATGGAATGAACATCATTTTATTTATTATAACTAACATTTATGTGAATTGAATAAACTATGAGTACTTTGTATCTAAACTAAAGAAGTGATGTATGAAAATGTAATCATAATCATCACTAATAATATTTACATCAACGAACAAACTGACAATGTTAATATTGCAAGAGTATTATACTTTGCGAGTTGGAATAAAAAAAACTACAAATAGAAAAAGAATTATTTAGAAAACTATGGAGGATAAATATTTCGTAACTGACTTTGCCATTCTCTAAGATGAATATGATTTAATCGATATAAAGGGTGGGTGAGGGTGTGAATACTAAAGAGAGAAATCCACACCAACGCTCACGCCCACACCCACTTACTCTCAAGAATGACTCATGCTGAGAATGTATTTTTCTTTCACAATGTGTCCGAAGTGTTAAGACTTCGACTTCTTCCTAATGGAATCTTTTATTAAATAATTCAATTTAGTTAGAGAATAATAAATGATGTGATGAAATAGTCTTATATCGATTTTTGAACGACTTTATCGTATAAATCTTGCCAAATATAATCTGGATCCCATTTATTTTTCATTTGTCTGTACCATTGCATATCATAAATTGTAGACCATTCTTCTTTTGAGTAAAAACTAAGTGAATATAACATTTTTCTTCCTCCTAATCTTTTCGCTTCTTTTTCTAATATTTTTGTTGCATTTTTACCACTAGATGATCCCGGTTGCCAACTATGTTGATGAGTCCATAGACCGAAATTAATAAATAAATGATCGCGATCATTTTCTAAATAATGTGGACTCATTTTTTGTGGCATTGAATTTGAACGAATTGGACAAAGCCAAATTGGTTCTAATATCTCATCATCATTCGTAAATAATTGTCCTGATTGTAGAAAAGATAAGAATTGTTTTGATTTCGATATTGGAATATAAATATCTTGAATAAGTAATGTATCAGTAATCATTGAAGTTGAAGAAGAATGAAGGCGTCGATAGAGTGATGATGTTGTAAAAAGTGGTGAGAGAATAGTTCGACTAATAATATTATATCCACCAAATGGAAAAAGATTTAAAAAATTTCGAATTAATAATGGTAAATGTTGAATTTTATCTTGTAATGGATTGATAGGATAACGACCCATCCAAAATGCTCCACGATCATATCGAAATAAATAATCTTTCAATGGAATATATTCACATAAAATATTTTTATTACAAATTTTTTTTACATGTTGATAATACCAAGGATTCCAAGGTCGAGAAAATCTTTGTATTCGTCCAGTTTTTGGTATAGATAATTTATCAATTCTTTGTCCTGTAATCATAATAGTATAATTCGAAAAAACAATTGCATCTATATAATCTTCATTATTATCAAATGATAAGATACTTTCAATAGGTTGATTTGTACAATGATAATTACAACGAACAAAACAATCCGATGGAATATCTAATACACGTAATGTAGCACGAATTAATATTCCAAATGTTCCACATGAACCTAATGCTCCATAGAATAGATCCGAATCTTTTGTTGGACTACAACTTATAATTTGACCATTACTTAAAATATAGGTTGCTTCAATTAATGAATCAGCAAATTGTCCATAACGAAAACTAGAACTTTCTAGACCGGCTCCAGCTAATATTCCTCCAATAGTTAAAGATTTAAATTCTGGAACAACAGTTGGTACAAGATCATATGATGATAATGCATCTACTAATTCTTCCATTGTTACATCAGGTTCACATGTTACAGTTCGCGATGATTTATCGATAGATAAAATTTGATTTGCTATTCCAATATGTAGGAAATGTATTGATGTATTCTTATTTTTTTTTGGCGATGATGATGAAGAACGTATTGAATTAGATGGAGAATTACGTTCATATCGTTGAATTTTTATTTGACTACCTTTTGGACATTCTCGAATTGATTGAGTAAGATATTCAACATCTATTTGTGTTTTTCGAGATCGAACTTTCATTATAATTAATATATTGTGATACAACCATAAAATATACGTATTGATTGCCCATTTTATCGTTAAAAATAGCTCATAGAGTTGAGAATCTTTTTCCATGTTACTTCTATGTTTGTTAAAAAGATGTAAACTATAAAAAAAATGCCGTTATTCTTTATATATGAATCGGTGTGTTTAATATCATAATTATCGTTACATATGTCTGTTTTCTTTCTTACTGTCGTTCAAGAACAGATGAAGAAACACATTTCCCGTATTTCATTGGCGTACTGTGCTTAAATAAAAAAATCAAGATTGCTCATGAAGTATGATAAACGATTGAAATCTCTGGTTTCTGTTATAGAGAATAAAATAATTTAATATATGACTGAATGATTGATATAAAATCTTATTTATTGGTGAGAAAAAAAAGAGTAATAAATTGAAGAAGGATGTAGGTGGAAATAATACCTGCATTCATAAAAATTTATGAATTAGTTGTTTGATAGAATCCTATCAAAACACTGGTTTTAGAGAGACATCGTCAAACGAATAAAAAAAATATGAAGGATCAACAATGGATGATAAAAGAACAGCTATATAATATGTAACTAAGTCACATACATTTACTTTTGTAATTGTAGATAATTTTCATGTATTTGTTTTTTAGTTTTTTTGTCATTAAATATGGATTATTCTAAATTTTAATGTAAATTTATAATAAAAAATGACCATTTGCGCGTGGAACGGGAATATTCATAATGAATAAATAAGTACACAAAGTACTGTACTTAAATATAACTTTCTTGAATTTGTATTCTCGAAGCTAGATTTATTTCTCACAGTACTTAATAAAATGAATACATGCAATTTCAGTCATTAATATCTTCCATTCTATATTTATATTTTTACAAAAATGTTCCATTGATGTACTTTTGTTCCTTTTTAATTGATACTAAGTCGAATAAATCTATATATTACTGTCTTTTGCAATAACACAGATTGTATGTGGATTATTAATAATCAAGTGATATATGGAATCAGTGTTGTTATTTTTCTCAATGATATTTTTTGTTCTATGTTATAGTATCGACGTAATTTCATAATATTACGGCCTTGTGTTAGAATGTGAGAATCAATATTTTTGTTTCAAAAAACATTTAGTTTTTTTTTTATTCATCCATTAAGAGGTAAAAATAAAATCCAGTACAATAGACACGGTCAACCATTTCCATTATAGTTTTTCTCGTTTCCATAAATATTATCAAATACACTTACAGCACTAATACTTCGTATAGCACATACTCTTATTTGATTATTAAGATATTCGTAACTCTGTTAATGACAAATAATTACATAAGGATTCTAACCAAATAGTAAGAATTCCTAGAATTATCAATCTGAAAATTCTTTAGGACATTTTAGAGTTTGAAATAAATGCTTTGAATTGTTAAACAACACTATCTATATCATGACAAGTTTCGACGATGATATTCCATTAGTTCTATCACGATCATTTGTGGCCACTAATGTATGTAAGTTTAATTATATTAAGACGATCTGCATCTACATATATTGCATATCAATTTCAAACTTTAACGAGCATTCACATTTGCATACTCAAAATTCAGTGATAAATCTTTTTAATGTTTTATCCATATATTTTCAAGATATACAATCCACCATTAAATCTGACAGATATATAATTTTAACACGTGATCGAATCATTTGCTTTAACGATCACGTGTTTCAATAAATATATAGATAACGAATGAATTAACAAATCACATGATATAATTTACGATAATGTCGATGCATATATTTAATTTTTATTGTTTTTAATCTGATATAAATATTCGTCGATAATAGCTAGTAAATCCAGTGAAATCGAAGAAGAATACGAAAACATGGCATTATCGACACTTTGTCTTTTGCTTTTTCTCAGTTTAACTGATGTTATCAATGGTGCTGGTAATTGTATTGACTCCAGTACTGTTAGCGTAAATGTGCCGATTTCTGGTGGGTGTACTCAAGGAGGATATCGACAATCTGTTATTGATTATTGGACACCAGAAAGAATGGCTTCAGCTAAACCAATGCAACGAAAGATCACTATAAAGGGAAACATTCCTTTTGTAAAAAATCATAAAGACAATGAAATCGAACGAATCCTGACACCGAGTACCATTCAATCTAACACACGTGGCGCACAAAACCCTCCCGCTTCTGGCCGAGTTTTCTTCAATTACGGCAACATGTCATATTCGTGTTCTGGTTCAGTTGTTACTGCTAACAATACAGCTACTGTAGTTACAGCTGGCCACTGTGTCTATGACAATGATACTAAACAGTGGGCAACCAATTGGATTTTTGTACCTGACTATAACAATGGTAGTGCTCCTTATGGTATCTTTACAGCTCGTATATTAATAACAACTCCAGAATGGAAAAACAATGCCAATTTCAGCTATGATGTGGCATTAGCCATAATGTGTCCTAATAATGGTACACATATACAAACGAAGGTTGGAGGCGGATTTACAGTATCATTGAATGCAAGTCAAACAGGGTCAACAATTGTACGTGGTTATCCGGGCAATATGAACAACGCCCAAACAATGAGCAATTGTACCGGTAGCACCACAAAACCAGGCACTGCTCTTCTTTCTCCTTTTTCTATTAGTGGTATAAAAAATTACGATGGATTCGAAATCTATTGTACTATGGGACCTGGTTCATCTGGTGGCCCATGGGTTCGACCATTCAACAGTAGTACTTCGTTAGGTTTACAAGTATCGGGTACCAGCTTCGGAATTGTTTTTCTTGGTATCCAGTTACCCTACCTTTATGGTCCCCGCTATCAACAATCGAATATCGGTAAACTCATGGATGCATGTCAAAGTGCATAATTCATTTTTTTTGTCTCCTACAAATGATTTTTTTTTTGAGACATTATAACAAGAAATTTCTTATTCATTAATATCATCAATAAAGAATTCCATTATGATCTGAATAATTTACTAGAATTTTTGTTCTTCTTTATTGTTCTATTGATATTGACTACTATTAATTCAATTTATTAAACAAAAATGGTTTTGATGCAAGTATTAATTAAAGACATCATATTTTTTGAAGATTTTCAATACATTATATTCAGTAGCTTTTGATAATCACGGGCAAAAATGTCTTTGATCAATATGAATCAGTCATTTTGAAAAACAAAAATATATATACCGTCAAGATAGCATAGATTGTTATGGATTAGAAGCATGACATATATTACAGTTATTAAAATTTTTAAGTTACAACAAAAACTCTCAAGTAATCTGATCATTGATTTTGAAAGAGAATAATCAGCGAAAAGATTCCGAATATAAACAATATTCATATTAGAAGAATATTGTACATAATGGTTTCTCGAAATCGATAGTGTTCTTTAAGATCACTTCACATTTTAATCTTCGCTACTAATATATCCTAGCTAGGTATGATAATTTTTGATAGAAGAAGTGCTAGTACTGATGGTATTGCACTTTATTATATTTCTTCTTACCTAAAATCATGTATATACTCGCTCACTAGAGAGAGCGAAAAAATATGAAAGAGAAAGATTTTAAGAATAAAAGTAAGATAAGGACAAAGTATCACGTGATGTATAAAATAACGATAAAAGCAATAAATCAAATGAAAAGAAATAATAAAGAAAGGACAAAGATCGTTACATTCATCTTCATCTTATAGAGGCATATTTAATATTATTTTTATGATTATATACATTCTCATTCTTGATATTCACAAAAGTGATATCAGATGAAAGAGTATACTAGCATGTTTTTTTCTCTTCATATTAAATAATATATTTTATAAACTCTCGAAATTGTCGATATACGTGAAAGATAATTTTTTCTATAATTTATCAAATTCTTCGATCCTTATATTCTCTAGACAACGATCATTTGTAAGAAATATGCAAACTTCAGTCGTTTAAATCGAAAGGCATGAATACTGAAAGATACAACAAACATAACTGTTTTTTGATTTTGATCGTTTCATTTTTGCAACTCATATTGAATTGTATCTGATCAACTCTAGATAATTATTTAAAGAAAAACTGGTCATAAAGGTTTTCAGTAACATTTGATTTATACTTAACAAGATCGATTAGTTTGTTCATGAAAAAATATAAAATCGAACTCATTAAAATTCATCGAAATTTTTTAAACGACTAAAGATCATGGATAAATTTCTTTTCTAAATAATTTATGATGCAACTAAAGAGTGAATCGATTCATTTCAAACACAAAAGGATAATCATAAAAATGTATCAAAACTTGAGGCTTAAATCATCCAAACTAGGGTGTGTGTATCCACCTACACCTATACTTCTATTGAAAGATAATCTATTTTTGAAATAAACTGACAAATATTTCATTTGAAAAGAAACCCAAAACTGAAAATAATAAAAGATTTATCAAGAAAAAGAATAAGTTGGATCGAAAAATTTATGTGAAGTAAAATAAATTAATAAAGATTTAAATTATTTCAATTTTTTATAGTTTTTTTTTGGAAATTAATATGAAAATAACAAAAAAAGAAGAAAAACTCTGATTAGTTTTTAATATTCTGTTTAATTTTATTATTCTGTTTTTATTTTATTTAATAAAATTTGTAAATATAAAACATCTATTCATTTCATTATAATGATCAATATGTTGAAAAATATCGAAGAATAAAGAAAAAAAAATAGTAAAACTCGAACAAGAAAAGAAATTCAACGGAAATCAAATAAACGAATCGAAATAAAATACGGTGCAGGTGTTGTTAAAGAAGAGACACTCACACTCACACCCTTTGTTTTCATCGAAAAAAAAAAACGAATTCTTTTTCTTCCTAATGTGTCGTTTTATTGCAATGGAATTGTTCCATTTGAAATATGCGCTAAAACGCAAACAGACGTCTGTTTCTTTCTTTGTACAATGTATGATTCGAAACACATGGCTATGGTAAATAATAAAAAGGAATGTTTTATATGTAATAAGGATACAATTATGTATCCTTGTGTAGCATGTTCAAATCAATTTTATTTAACTCATTTAATAGAACATCAACAGAAATTAAATGGAGAACTGAATTAAATTATTAATGAAAAACAACCAAATTTAGATTTGATAAAGCAAATTCATCAATGGGAACAAAAATCAGTTGAATTAATTCAGAAAACAGCAAATGATTGTCGAAATAATGTTATACAAGAAACCAAATTATTTTAAATTAACATCGAAAAGAAATTTAGTAAATTAATTAAACAAATAAAAGATATTCGTGAACAAAATGAATTTAATGGGAGGAATTTAAGTTATTTACGAGATAAATTAAATGAAATTACAAAAGAATGTCATAATTTATTTAATATTTCTCTCGAACAAAATAATTCATAATCATTTATTTAAAAAATTCCAGTTAAAAGTGTTAAAAGTATGTAACATTTTTTAATCATTACTATGTAAAAAAATTATTGAGATGTTCAAATTCGTCAAATAACTATTGAGTTTTCTTGTGAGTGGTTGTGTCGGCAGAGTGGAACGCATCCACACCATTATCACACCCACATCCAAATATTTTACTGGCCATATGTTTTTGACCCTTGAAACTATACGGTTTCGTAGCTTTCGAAAAGGGCTATCGAATGAGCTGAGCTAAATTTTTGGGCCCGTCAATTTTCCGATCCAGATATTCCTTGCAAGGTTTGAGAAAATGACAAAGACACTGGATATCTTACACTTTATTTGATCTTTATCCCAAAACATGAAATAATCAATTCATGATTTGTATACGAAATTGTAGCTCTATTTAATAACTATCGTATTCATAATTTCAGTACCATCTTATCATATGAAATTGCATCAAGCCCGAAGGAGATCATTATTAGGCTAAAGACAAAGAATGAGGTATTTTGTTGGTAAATATTAACTTCCGAAAATCATTCAAAGTCCCATATATTTGATACTAAAATATTCGTCTTAACTTTCTCTTTACACTGATATAAAGTTCAATAGGATTTGTTGGGAAAAATGCCTCTGAGCCGATTGGCTACCTTATGCACTTCTGTCCTTTTATCAAAACTTAGAAATCTTGATAAAATGGGTGAAGATGGATGTGAATGAGGGGATGCGTGTGAAAAACAAACAGGGCACACGCTCATATCCTCACCCACACCCACACTCTATATTCATGTTTAGTATATACCCCTTTATGTTGCTAAAATAGTCATAAGGAAAAGATGGAGTATTAGTGTTATCATGATTCTGCTATCTTGTCACTTCCGTAGTATTTTGCATGCTTTTTCTTACAACAACTAATTACAACATTACACAATATCTGTGACACAAAACAAATATCGACTCATTCAATGATAGGAAAAAGCCAACAACATATCATACGATCAATATATAAGGCTACTCAATACGCATTCCAGAAACAGTTTACAATGTCAAATCAAAATGTGGAAGGGGAATGAATATGGATGTGAAACGAAGAGGACACCCACACTCATTTGTACTCACAGATTAGAAGACATTTAAAAGAAATCATGTATTATATAGAAGACATGAATTCATACCGGTGCCATGCAAGAAATTAAATTGCTTGATAAACTGTTATCATTTTCTATACTAGATGCTAACATTCATTTCTACATAAACTTTATATTTCTAGATATAATCGAAAGTCTTTTCACTCATTAAAAAACATGGCACGTTCTGTCGATCCAACAAAAGAAGGTAGATGTGTCACAGCAGTTTTGGATCGTAAAGAACGTCCCAATCGTTTACTTGTTGATGATTCAACTAATGACGATAATAGTGTTGTTGCTTTGTCACAACAAAAAATGGATGAATTACATTTATTTCGTGGTGATACTGTTTTACTTAAAGGTAAAAAACGTCGAGAAACAATGTGTATTCTTCTTGCTGATGACAATTGTTCATATGAACGTATTTTAATGAATCGTGTTGTAAAACATAATTTGCGAGTACGTTCCGGTGATATTGTTTCTATTCAAGGTTGTTCAGATGCAGAATATGGTAAACGTATACAAGTTTTACCTATTGACGACACTGTAGAAGGAATAACAGGAAATTTATTTGAGGTCTATTTAAAACCATATTTTCTTGAAGCTTATCGACCGGTAGAAAAAGGTGATGTTTTTATTGTACGTGAAGCTATGCGTGCTGTAGAATTTAAAGTTATTGAAACTGATCCAAGTCCATATTGTATTGTTGCACCTGATACAGTTATACATTATGAAGGTGATCCAATTAAACGTAAAGACGAAGAAAAAGCATTATTGAATGAAATTGATTATGATAATATTGGCGGTTTAGAAAGTGTTAAATCTAGATTGCAAGAACTTATTCAATACCCGCTTGAATATCCAGAAACATTTCTCAGATTTGGTATGACACCATCACGTAGTATTCTCTTGTATGGACCACCTGGTTGTGGTATGTTGATATTCTCTGCTACTGTTTTTTACAAGTCTATTTATATTGATATTCAATTCTAGGGAAAACATTATTAGCAAAAGCTATTGCTAATGAATGTCAAACAAATTTTATTTCAGTTAAAGGTCCAGAATTATTAACTATGTTAATGTCTGGTGAACAGGGACGAACCGAGGTCTTTAAGGCAGCGGGAGCGCAAAACATCAGTACTTCAAGTTCTAATAGCACGGGGGGCGCAAGACCCTTTTCATCTAAATCAAACACCAAAAAACACGTTAAAACCCTTGCTATTGGTTTTATTAATCAAATAAAACCTAAAATTTTTCAAAGCAAGAGGGGCGTAACACCCCACTCGTCCCCTAATCGGTGCGCCCCTGTTGATGAATCCGAAAGTAATGCACATGATATATTTGATGAAGCTCGTCATGCAGCACCATGTGTACTCTTCATTGATAACTTTGATTCAATTGGTAAGTTAAGCAACAGAAAAATGAATACAAGAATATTTGGATTTTATTTTTGATGTTTGTAGCAAAAGCTCGAGGTGGTAGTGCTGGTGCAAATGATCGTGTTATTCATCAAATTTTAACTAAAATGGACGATTTATATGCAGAGCAAAATGTTTTTATAATTGGTGCAACCAATCGACCAGATATTATCGATCCAGCTCTACTTCGACCAGGTAGTACAACGATAATATTTCTTATCTTAATCAATTGAATCATTCTTATAGGTCGTTTTGATCAATTAATTTATGTTCCATTGCCTGATGAAGAATCCCGTATGGATATTCTTAAAGTTGCTTTAAGAAAATCTCCTGTAGCTGGAGATGTTGATTTGAATTTATTAGCTAGTGTAACCAAAGGTTTTAGTGGTGCTGATTTAACAGCAATTTGTCAACGTGCTTGTGAATTAGCAACTCGAGAATCAATTCACATAGAAATTAATCGTGAAGAACGACAACACAATGGACAAACAGTAATGTATTCTAATGAACCCAATCCAGTGGGAGAAATTCGTCATGATCATTTTGAAGAAGCTATGAAATCTGCTCGACGATCAGTTAGCGATAACGATCTCCGTATATATGAAATATTTACTCAAACATTACGACAACCATCATGAGGTAGTCGTCGTCGTCGAAATAATAACGACGGCTATTTATATGCTTAAACAAGAATAAACAGTTTCAAATAAACTTTCTCGCATTTTTAAATAAATCTATTTCATAAAAAAACAATGCTCCTAAATTTTTAAAACACATCCAAAATCTGTATTATATTAATGTTCTTTTTTCATCAATTGATGTTGTATATACAGATCGACTGTTTAAAGGCTTAAGTTCAGATATCATTTGTGTTTGCATTGTTATATTCTAGCTATTAATAAGCATGTTGGTGTGGATATGAATGTAGCTATAAAAGAGAGACACTCACATCCACACTCTCAAGATATAAAAGAAACACATGCATCAGATGAATGGAAATTTAATGGTTCATAATATAGTTTTATTATAAATCATCACGATATTAAAGATCTTTTAAATGCAATTAAAATTCTAATAGAAATGAGAAATATTGAAATAGAAAATAAAATTTCAATTTATTCTGAAACAATAGATGATCATGCAAATCATTTATTTCGTAGTTAGCCTGTAAGACTTTATGTTTTATATGAGGAAAAAGAGAGTTTTAATTTCTCACATGCTTTTTCTCTCATAGATATCAACAAGTAAAGAATAGCAATATGAAACATAAGTCAACAAAGCAAACCTCAAGGATAAAATAATATTTAAATATTATCTCTTTAAAACTAAAGAACAGACGAAAATGTTTGTCATATTATTTAGACACGAATTTATTTTAGATGTATCTCAGTTGAATTGATTATGCTATTTTTATTCTACTTTCGAGTAAGATATATTATCTTTAATGAAATTAATATTTTAGTTTTCTCGGGTGGTATTAAGATTTATTAAGGATCTATAAAATCAAAACACACATCTACTAAAGAATTTCTTGTGACATTCGAAATATTCATTTGCTATAAACTAAAGATAAAATGTGACAAGTTATTTTTACTTTTGTTTCTATTAAATGATATTATTGAAGAATAAGATCAGGTTGAATTGAGTGACTAGCTGTTGAGATAAGAAGATGACAGTATATGCTTTACCATAGATTGTGTTAGTTATAACCAAATCACAATCTCGTTCACTCTATATTTTTCGAAAGCTTAAGTAGTTTTAGTATTGAGATGCATTGATAGTGTTAGAAGCATATTTGAGATAGATGTGCAACTATATATAAATTAGATAATAGAAATTAAAGACATTTTCAAACAGCATTAAATTCGAAAAGATACACATTATACTGATGATTGTAAACTTGTCTTTGATAGTATATTTTCAAAAAGAATAAAAATTGAAAAAACACTGCAAGTATCTAAAACTTTTGCTACCCACGTTATATAAGTTAATTTTTAACTGTAGAATTGATTGTTTTGCGTTCAGACTACTAATATTAAGGCCATGAATGCATTCGTATTCCAAGTTGTCGTAGCTTTGTAAATAAAATGTATGAATCTTTTAAGGATCCTGTTGGAGTCATCCAATATAGTCTCATTTCTTTGACTGAAATATGATGTTCAAAGAATAGTTCGTCTATCAAAGAATGAATACTTGAATCATTTAATACTTCGTTTATTAAAGGACCTTCAATTGCTGGATTATCAATATCTAACTTGACAACAACATGATCGTATGGTTTAGCTAGTGCTTTTAAATTTGTCCAAGGACTAAGTTTACCGGATTTTTCACAACCAACATTAATGAGAGTATAAACGGGAAAGACATCATCTGGTAATTCATTCCAAACATTTTTAAGATTTAATAATTCAGATTCATAGGCAATAATACGATCAAATTTAATACCAAAACGTTTGTAATATTCATAAAACCATCGTCCAGCACCGGCCTTAATATCACCATTCCAATGTCCAAAATAAGAACTTCCCAAATCAATCAAAATATTTTGTCCATTTCTTGTGTCTGTTTCTGTGTCTAAAGAATTCAATTTTGATCTTTCATACATCCATGGAAGTAAATTTGTATTACGTTTATTTGATGGAATAATCATCGGTAAATTATTATTATTAGTATTTTGGATCGATGAATGAATATAAAATGGAGCTGCGACTGATAATAGAAAAAAACGTTTTGATTGTAAAATTGCTCCTTCATATGCAGAAGCAGGTAGTATGTCAATACGATTGCATATCGTCAGTGGATCTCGTAATAAACCAATAAGTGGTTCGATTAATTGCGATACGATTACTCCTTTAGATGTTACATTTGTTAATGGATCAATACATTCTTTTTGATAAAACATTCTCGATAAAAGCTTATCGCTTGATCGTTTGTTGCTATGATTTCGTCCGAATTTTTGTAATACCATTAAACGTTCGACAGTTAAAGCTGATTTATTCAAATTATTTCGGTCTGCTAATATTTCGCAAACGACGTTTTGTAAATTTTCAATATTGTTAGCCCAACTAGATTCCCATGCACTTGGTGTATAATTTAAAAAATACCAATGACAATTTTGATTGATATATTTGGATTGTATTGAACAATTCTTTACAGAATTATCTTCATAATTCGTTGGACTTTGAACTTTAAATATTACGGTTGCGAGTTTTGCTCGTTGACTAATATGGATAATTGTTAAAATTAATGATCCAATAATGAAAATGACGATTAATGGATGTGAAACTACGAAATGTTGTATTTTTTCGACAGATATATCGTTATCCATAGATGCAAAATATATTATTATCTATATATCAATATTAAATTTATGAAAATAAATAGTTTATACTTTGCAGTTACAGCAGTAACCACGCCTACACTCAAGATGAAGTGAGATCTATAAAAATACTCAATACATTGTAATTATGTTGTTTGAATATATTTTATATTTATTTTGGGTTATTTTTATCGATATAACTTAAAACAGAAAATATTTTATTTTATTGACTCTTACTTTTTCTATTTTATCGGAGGAATATGATTATATAGTGGGACGAAGACTGAAAACAAAATCCATCATATGTGCGACATATCTAGTGAAAGCACGATTGTTTACGGTATTCATAACGTTCGATCTCAGTATAGCTGTGAAAGACTGTCCACTAATTCTTGTTTTTATTAAATATTGTAGTGTTTCATTTTGTTTCACTCACCTTCTCTCAACGTTACACAAACATCACGAAACGTGTGCGACAGAAAAGATGAAACTATTGTCTTATAATCAACAGAATGACGGACGCCGCGAACAAGTTGCCGAGGAGATTGATCGGCTCCTCTGATTTTTTCGAAATCATTGGTCTTTGCAAGTGAAATTTGTTTTTTTTTCTTTCGCTTTGTACAGAACAGAAAAATTCATTCTGTTACTCGATAATTCTGCCTTGTAAATGTTTCTAATATCTAAACAGAATGACATTTTTATTATGGAAGAGATGCTGAAGAACGAAGAAAATGATCTATAGCAGGGAGATACAAAAGTGACGAAACCTGACACGGATCGATAGCTATGGATTCGTAATTGATATGGCATTCATACGCAATCTTAGTTTATCTATTTCAACTTTGTTTCTCCTCAGATAAAGCATCTTGATGAATCTCTTTGATTACTGATCATCACCGTTGTATTCCTAGTGGAAAGAAGCACAGCATGTCATACTATATAAACAATCTTTTTTATACGTCGCCAAACAAGAATGAAAAAGAATTTGTTTTCATCGTATTTACAACAGAATGAAAGATTTCACAAGGTGATTCAAACAGAACGCATTCTCTCACAAAATTTAAAATGGTTGTTTCATATAACAATAGCTCATTTGTATGAACAAATGTAGCACTCTTCACATGCTCGTTACTGCACGACGTATTGTTCGGTAAAACATTGAATGGTGACGGTAAGACGAGCAAAAAATAGATTAATTCTGTAGAAGCGTGCGAAAAAAGAAGAAGAATTTCAACTCTTATTTTAAGATAATCATCTGTTTACGATCTAATAAACGAACAGCGACAGCAACTATTAATCAAACTGTGGCTCTTGCTTAACCGTTACTATAGCTTTATCTTGTTAATTTTATTATATATGTTATGTATCTTTATTTAAACTAAATAAGATATAACAGGCTAAAAATAATTAACACGACGCGAATCGAAATAATGCTGATCTTAAATATTATCTGACTAGAAGTTTTCCTTTCTTTGTCGAGTACGAACAACTGACTGATGATATTTTACTATTGCACAATCTAATGTAATCATGTTTGATGTTGTGTAATTCAATGTAATTGTGACACATCAGAACAGAAAGAAAACTATTTTGTTTTATAAGTCGTCATCATTTTCATGTCATTTTTAAAAATGTCGACGTTACAGAATAAGCGTGAAAAGCGTCTCCGTGAAAAAGGTGAAGCAACAGATACTGAAATAGTATATGTTAATTCGATGATACAATTGAAAAAACAACATTCGCACCGAGTAACAGCATTGCATCAACAAGCATCTGATATACTCGATTCTTGGTTGTTTCAAGGCAATTGGCAACATGCAAACGATTTGGTTAATCTCAAATCACTCTCAATTACTCATATTATCAACGTTACTGATAAAGTTTTATCGAATCAATCGCAACAAATACTTCATATTCCAAGTAGAGACAGTCTTTCCGTTGATCTATTAAAATCTTTTCATGCAACAAATGAATTTCTTGATCAATGTCATCAATAAGATGGTCGAGCACTAGTACATTGTCAACGTGGTGTATCTCGTTCTTCAACAATTGTTATTGCTTATTTAATGCATTATAATAAATGGACTGTATTACAAGCTTATGATTATCTATTAGCCAGACGACCAGAAGCATCACCTAATCTTGTGTTATTGCTTCAACTAGCGCGTTACGAAAAAGAATTGATCAAAGCTAATGATGAAAAATAAAACTTTATTAACTCTATTACTCTTATAAACATTCTATTTGAATAAACTCAATCGATTATATTTATAGAATTTATTTCATTTGAATTACTAAACGTTTTAGTCGAAGTGATATAGATTTGATTTTTATTTGTTTTCAAACAAGATTTCTACTAAGTTTTCAAATAGACGATTATAAAAAGATTGATGTATTTATTAATTTTGCTTAAAATAGAATTTAATCTTATTATCTAAAAATATAATATCTTAAATTTTCCTTTTTTATCCCCGACAATACGATATTCATCGTTTAAAACAAAGTTATTTTTATTTCGTCGTATTTAATAATTAAGCAGGTAATTCAATGATACTAACAACATTTATTTCTACATTGTCTCTTTCATGATTTTCTTCTTCTCGTATTGGAATAAGATCTTTACTAATGATCTTGTAAATTGTACGTTTTAATTCATGTCGAAACGCTTTTGATACGATCATAAATACAAAAATATTCACTGAATAAGAAGTACTATAAATAAATGTCATAAAATAATATAAGAAATTTCGTATGGCTTGTTCTAATATTGTTCCATTTTGATATTTTGTTAGAGCATCAAAGACATAAAATGTACTTATTAATGTAGTAAAGATAATGAAAATAATATCTTGAACAAATAAACAACGAAGTAATTGAAAATCTTTTTTTGTCATCGATCGGATTTGATTTCGTTTTTCACGTGGGATCGATCGAATACGCTGAACATTTTTAAACGCAAATACACACAAAACAATCATTAAAATATCCAAAATGACATTAATAACTGCTATAGAATATGAAACGAAATCAAAGTAAGTCGAAAAAAGATCAAAATAACAAACAAAATAAAAAGGAGAAAACTCTTGAAGATTAGCTTTAATAAGTATATGAGAGTTAAAAACAATCCAAAAAATTGTACTTATACTGATAGAAAAATAAGCTAAACGCTTTGAACTGTACAAACGTGTATCAACATTTTGTGAAGATATCAATAAACGATCAATAGATGCAAGAATAAGAATAGTAGGTGAAAGTGCAGCAAATAGAAATGATGCATAGAAATATAATTTACATGCAATAACACTAGAATTCTGTAAATTTACATTATAACCATTTAAAAGGACAAGACCAAGCATAGTAGAATTAATATAAAATAAATTAATAAGAAGAATAATTTTAAAATAAAATACACAAACATTTTTTCTCCAAGATTTTTGAAAAAATACAAAAGCATTTAGTAAATTTCCAATATTGCTTACGACATAACATATAAGAAGAATATATTTATAAACATAAGTTATAATATTGTCAAAAAGATTTATGTAGTAAACGTCAGACGAACTCATTTTATATAATATTAATGAACAGCACTTTTAAATATAACCACTTCTTATATAAAATGAGTTTTTATTTTTCTCTTCGTAATTAAATACAACGAGTAACTGTCTTTAAAATGTTGATATAACACCTACATAATACTATCAAGAGGGATTTCTGCTACTAATTATAGTTTATATAATGATAAAAATCCTTCATACTTTGTCTAGGCGCTTAGTGAATATTATTTTCAGATAAATCTAAAACGTAACTTTAATCGATTTCAACAACGATTACAAAATAACATATTAAAAAACGCTACTAAGGTAGAAAGTAATTTACCTTATAGCTTTACAAGCGCCTGTAGTTTTCACTTATCTTATAAGTAGGTTTAAAACACATGCAATTAAAATGCCTTATAGAACACTTCAGAAATATAATCACAGATCATATCATTGAAAATAACAAAACGGGCAAAAGTGCACATATCTACGGGTTGGAAGTACGCAATCTAACGCATCAAAATATGTTATTATCAGCTTTTGATGGAATTCAGTAGTTACCATGGGACGATACTACTACTAAATATATATGACAGTGATGATATGAGTATGGGTTAAGAGAAGAAATACTCATGCTCACACCCACACCCTAATCTATTAAGTTTCTATATATGTCTGTAATTCTTTATTGACTAAGTTTAACATTGAGTCAAGTAACGAGATTGAATAATGGGATTGAGGGTGGGTGTGGGTGTAAATAAAAGAGAGACAGCCACACTCGACATAAACCCACCTACACCCACACCCTTTGTATCATCGAAACATTCATTCATTGACAACTGATACATGAAATTAAGGCTATTCTTATTGTTATTGTATCCATATGTTATATATATTTTCCACACTGTTCTCTCTTATGTTGCATTGTATTATGATATTCATGTAATTTGATGATATTACAGTGTGTGTGTGTACTAGAACGTGAGAATCAATATTTTTCATCAAAAATATTTAGCTTGTTTTTTTGTTGATTAACACAGTTTTCATTGCAACAAAGTGTATCAAATGACTTTTACCCTTTTAGAGTTGTGGTCACGAAATCAAAGTGCAATTAAATTTAGATGTTTTCTACACTAGCAAAACAAGTCAAAAGAAAGACGTTAGTAATAAGTGTGAATTTCATATTTTTGTTGTATTGCATGAGTGAGAAATGATATGCAATAGTACTTGATGTTTTGGTGTAATGCATGGATAGTAACAAATTGTTACTTATGTCTCGCTATATATTTTTCTATCACATGTGCATCTAAGTTATTGTCATGTGAGGATAGTAGTTAATTGTTTTGTTGACTGAAAACAATTTTGTTCGTTTCTCTACCTCTGTGTATATATATACACACACCTTTTCTCATAGGTTCACAAACCAATTCTCATCTTACTCCAGTTTTATTCTTCACTACATTATTACTATTAATATGCCAGGCTGTGGATGTGGTTGCGGTTGCGGATGTGGTTGTGGTTGTGGTTGTGGTTGTGGTTGTGGCTGCGGTTGTGGTTCGTGCTGTAGTTCATGCTGTGATCCTTGTTGTTGCTCTTGCTGCGACCCTTGCTGTGACTGTTGCTGTGGTCCATGCTGTTGTGTACGTAAAACTGTGTGCTGCTGCAAACCATGTTGCAAAGTCATCAGAAAGAAAACTGTCACCGTTAAAAGATCGTGCGCCAAAGTTTGCTGTTGTTAACATTGACATTTTTGATCCTTTTCCATGAACTCATTCAATATCTAATGTATAAATGTTAGAGAACACACTAACAACATTCGTATTATCTTTTTCTCTCTCCTTCCTGTCATCTATGAGAATATATTGAAATTTTCATCTTCTTTCATTTACTTCATACACAATTAGAAAGAAGATGTACTACATCATCTTCTTTGTTTTGTTCATCTATCTCTCACTTATACGTGTACCTGGATAGAATGAGTATGAATAGCTAGTTTTTTTTAAATAAAATTGCTTAGTAGTTAAGGAAAATATTCTTCTTCTCACTTGTTCAATTCAGTTACAAAATGACCTTGTAATAATAAAGAAAATTTGTTTGTTCTTTATGCATTTGGTTCCTGTGAGAGTCACTGTAACCAAACTGTGCACAACATACCATTTGAATTGTAAAGAGAATTAGAACTTCGATAAGTTTACTTTTGTGCTGTATAATAACAAACCATCTTGAGAGTGGGTATGAGTGGATGATGATGTTCTCAATCAAACTCATCCTCACCCACAGTTACACCCCCAAGATAGTTTATTGAATATTCAATCTTTTCCATACTTGAAAATTAGATTTAGGTATTATGAAATTCATAACAAAACAATTAGTCATAAATAACAAAAATTTCTCCATTATTTTTATTAATAGATTTTCTCCTATCAATTAGGATAAAATAAAATAAAAACTTATTATATACGAAAATATTGTTTCAAATGTAGAAAAGAAAAAATCAGAGACAAACAATTCTTTCTTTTTGTCAATATGAATTTTTTATTGAATATATAAAATAATTATTTGTAAATAAATTCAAATAATCAAAATCTAATCGAAACCAATCGAATGCATCAAGCTTAATGATAGATGACCTTGTTATAGGTTGATTGTCAACTAAATTTTTATACGTACGATTTTTTAATTTATGAAGAACAATAAACAAATGAAAAGATTTTGTTTCGCGGAGAGAAATTTTTTTGTTGTAAATATTAATATACAAAATACGACGAAAAGAAATAAAACAATGAAGCACAAACATGAAAATATGCACTTCAATTTTTCTAAGTTCTATTTTTCAGATTGAACGTGCCCAATAAAAGAATACAATTAATCGTCCATAGATAGTATTTGATCAATTCGTTATATATATGGTGATATAATTAGTATACATTACATTTAAAGATGTTCATAATTCAGTTAGATGAGGTAAAATCTTGGGATCTAGAATTCAATTGAATCGGTAGTTAATAAAATCCACTTTTGTCACAATATGTTTACGTTTAAAAATTCCTACTTGCGAATTTAATTGATAGAGCAAAACCACCTGGTCTTCACTTGCCTTCGAATTGTGATGCATAACTCATCCATTTCTAATACACAATGAATTTTTTGATCGAACACACATTCTATTACAGTTTTTTTCTATTCTCGAGGCCAAACTTTTGATTAAAATTATAAATTATGTTTACTCAAAATATGAAATTTACATTATATGTTCGAATCCGTTGAAATGGGCTCATTATTGATTATTTTTTATTATATAAACCATACATACATTTGCTTTATTCAACTAAGATCGGAATCAGCTACGAATTCACTGACATTACAGATAATGGCGAATCCAGTATCAACCACATATGGAAGCCATTCATCGATCGAACGCATTGTCTGGACAGATGACGATGATAATAATCAGTAAGTACAATATCGATTTCAAGATGCGTATATATCTTATATTTTAATGACAGAATTAATCAAAAGAAGTCCTTTGCTTGGCATTGGTGCTTTAGATGCTGTTTTATTGGATCATTAGTTGCTGGAATAGGTTTAGCTATTGTACTCGCATTTTGGTTGACTTCAAAAACAACAACAACAACGGAAACATTAAGTATGTAGCAATTAAAATCATTTGTTTTCATCTTGACTATTTTGTCTTTTTATTCATCAAATGAAATAAGAAGATAATTGAGTACAGTTTTTAGTTGAATAATAACCTATGATGAGATAAAAATGATAACTATTGACTTTTTTTAATTAATTAAAAAATCATCAGTAATTAGGCAAAGAACTATTCACGGTTTGTGATTTTCAAAAATTAAATCGGACTGAAACTGAAATCTGGAAAAAGGTAAGCAAATATTATTAGTTTCGACAGTACGACTTGTAGATAACAGCATACTTATCAAGACATATGCTTCGTTTTATATATCATAACCTGAATTCCTTCGATTTCCATCTCATATCTTTATTTTTCTAGGCTTCAGATCTAGCAATAAAAGTATCAGATGATACGCTTAAAATTGCATATAGGTAGTCGTCTAAGTTGAATCAGTGTAAGTTGAAACTGAACTGAACCGAAACCGATATTGGTTCTACAAGTCTCGATTCGAACCGTTCCCATCTCTGGCTTCAATATCAACAACCGTTAAGAGTAAATATTAAGACCATGATGATGAACTGAGAAGTCTTGTAGTTATTGAAGCAGTATAAAAGAAGGAGTAGATATTCTTATTTAAATAGTAACATACTTTGAGAGAGATGGAGAGATCTGTGCGAGTAAGGAGAAGATAGACATGTGAGTATAATCAAAGTATCTAAAAATGAATAATGGAGTAGAAAGAAAGAAATGATAAAATATTTTACATATAAAAGTAAAACAAGGTAAAATTGAGTTTTTGTGAATCATTCTATAATAATTGATGTTTTCAGCTCAAAAAACAACAGTATCAACTTCAACGATGAGCACGACTCTAGCAACAACAACAACCACAAGTAAGATGCTGATTCTAGCAGATGTGTTCGAACTCTTGTGAAACAGGCAGAACTCTATAATCATATTAAACTGTGATAAAACTATCTATACAACACAATAACTTTCACAGAAAATTCTACAAAGACATGGAATCTGAAAAAAGTTCAGACGACATAAATGAGTATCAAAACGAGACCAAAACCACATACCCATCTATTTTTAGTACAATATAATAGAATTACAGGGTTTCGATAGTTCTGGAAGAGTTCAGATTTCACTGAGTTCGTACACTGCTGCACTAGTTAAACGATTTTTTTACTTAGTCTCCACATCTAATTGGCTGATTAATGGTGATGGAGAGACTGGTTCATGCCAAGTAGGATACGGCATAACGAGTCCAACAGGCTGGATGTACAATGGACCGGTTACGCAAATATATTATAGTGCTAGTGATGGTGATTTAAACTCTACGACTTCAGGTCCTAGGTGATAGAAAGATATATAAATAATTTGATGTTCGATTCTTTTCTGTTTATAGTAATCGTGGACAATGTTATTTCTATGGTCAAATTTCAAATGTTACTTCAATGTGGCAATATGTAAACCTGACTAGCTCAATCAATCCTGTTTTGATTGACAATCAAACAGTACGATTTAATTTTTCAGCATGGCTTGGCGGTTATTATGATCAAGATGACAATGTTCAAGTCTCGCTAATGTTCATCAATCAACTCAACCAAGCTGTAGGTAGTACAGTCGTTCTTGGACCAGTATTAGCTATAGATCGTGGGAACGTCAGTAAACTGCTCTTTCGGCAAACTAGTGGGCTCGTACCAACCAATGCTCGATCTTTATTGGTGACGGCTACAATGATTCGTACCGCAGGAATCGCCTATAATGATGGTTGTGTCGATAATATCTATCTTTATTTTTATCAATAAATATTCTCAATGTCGCTGTACTGATACTACCAACATCGTATAAAAACTGTCGTTCTATATCATTCGAATAAGCGTGCATTTTATTGTTATAGATCAATTTACATGAATCTTGAAGATGGATATGGATGAGAATATGTTTATTCATCATATCCTCACCTCACCTGATTATATAAGTCTTCTTTTTTCATATGCATAGAGTATTTCATTTCCAACTATATAAAAAAACTTTTATTAGCCTAGCCGACTGAGGAATGAGACTGAGTATATTATATATCTTAGCAAAGATAAGAAAACACATAATAAATAGGAACAGCTGTTTGATTATTGTATTTATAACAGAAATAATAACGGGAAAATATCTACGATCAGAAAAGCAAAGTATGGCTGTAGGGATTGGACTATAATAAAAATGACACTCACACAAACACCCTCTATAATTTTATTTTTATGTCAATCGTCTCAAATTCTAGAAAAGAGAAATAGATTGTACCACTTGCAAACGAAAAACAAACGATTTGAAAGTCAGTTATCTATAGATATACTGCACTAATCAATTTCCTTTTTTTCGATTGGCTTGAATTAACAAGTTTAAAACTAACAATGAGATAATTACTAATCGTAAAGAAATATTAAATAGAAATTGTCTTATTATTGATTCTCTTTTATTAAAATACATATTCGTATAAAAATAAGGTAACGTGAATGTAAGTATCTTGTTTACCTCATTAGTTCGTATATCTGATATGATTTTAGATTTTGTTCTAGATTATCTTTTGATGTTGTTATTTACAGATATATTCATCTATGTCTTTCATGAACTTACCTCAAAGTCTTTTCGTAAGCAAAATATGCCAATTATCACATATTCTACATTCGCTGGATACTATCAAAATAATTAGATATTATGAAAGATGACACTATAAAACTAACGGAGCATTTGAAAGGATAATTCAAATTATCGTATCAATTGTAACTTTTGCTAATCATAATAAACTAATATATAAGAGCAGAAAAAAAAGATATATTTTTTATTTGGAATAGAATATTAAAATATGTGATAATACAGTAAACATATGAAAGGAAATAGTTCGCGGGTATCATACGATGACAGTTATTCTAACTAAAGTTTTGTTTGAAATAATTAATATAGCTCTGTACTATTTAAAGCAATGATACCATTCCATCCACCAGTAATTAATACTTTTCCATTTGATAATACAGCTGCAATGGGATAATATCGTGCATTAGCCATGTTACTAGTAGTTGTCCAAGTGCCTGTTGATGGATCATACAGCTCAGCACTATTTAAAACAAAACTATTCGCTCCGCCAGTAACTAGTACTTGTCCATTGGATAATATAGATGCTGTATGAGTAGATCGTGTATAAGTCATGCTACCAGTAGTTGTCCAAGTACCTGTTGATGGGTCATACAGCTCAGCACTAGTTAAAAAGCTCGTGTCATTAGTCTGTCCACCAGTAACTAATACTTTTCCATTTGATAATACAGATGCTGTATACAGTTCTCGTGCATTAGTCATGTTACCGGTAGTCGTCCAAATGCCCGTTGATGGATCATATAGTTCAGCACTCTTTAAATAACCACCATAATTCTGTCCGCCAGTAATTAAAATTTTCCCATTTGATAACATAGCTGCTGTGTGATAAGCTCGTGTAGTAGTCATGTTACCAGTAATTGTCCAAGTACCTGTTGATGGGTCATACAGCTCAGCACGATTTATATAAGTATAATTATTAGGTTTTCCACCAGTAACTAATACTTTTCCATTTGATAATACAGATGCTGTATGAGCTGCTCGTGGATTCATCATGCTAATAGTAAGTGCCCAAGTACCTGTTGATGGATCATACAATTCAACACCATTAAAAGCAGTAATACGATCGATCGTACCACCAGTGATTAATACTTTCCCATTTAATAAAACAGATGCAGTGTGAGCGTATCGTGCATTAGTCATATTACCCGTATGTGTCCAAACACCTGTTGATGAATCATAAAGCTCAGCACTATTTAAAGCAATATATCCGTTGCCTTCTCCACCAGTAACTAATACATTACCATTTGGTAACACAGATGCTGTGTGAATATATCGTCCATGACTCATATTGCCAGTAGAAACCCATCCTAGAAGTTATATTTTTATATATTTAGACAATACAATATTAGATAATCAAACAATCAACATTCATTAGTCTTGTGCACAGGAATTTTCATTATTCTAAAAACTACAGTCTTTGATATGTCTCTTTTATATCACCTCAAACTTATGTAGACTGAGAATAGTAGTCAGATGTATTACACAAAATCTCTTCATATGTCATTATGACATCTTTGGTTTTCTATATTTTCTATTTCCTTTGTTATCTCATCTTGGGTGTGGGTGCGGGTATAGATATTATTCAATTCGCTCACACCCACACCCACACCCTCAAGATGATTACTTACTAGCGACTGTACTAGATTGATTAGTGGTAATGTCGAAATGAACTGAAAAGCGAAACAAATAAAGCTATGAGTTAGAGTCAGTGACAATAATACTGTATGTTTTACCTGTTGATGCTGGTGTTGTTGTCGATGTTTCAGTGGTGATCTTAGGCTTTTGAGTAGTCGCTGCTTCAGTGGTAGTCGTTGGCTTTTGATTAGTCGCTGCTTCAGTGGTGATCTTAGGCTTTTGAGTAGTCGCTGTTTCAGTAGTGATCTTAGGCTTTTGAGTAGTTGTTGTAACTGAATCAAAAGAGATAAGTTAGCCACAAAATAAACATATTTTTTAAAGAGAAAATATAATGAAATAACACTTACTCTTTGTTGTAGATTTAGTTGTGCTTGTTGTATGTATGGTTGTAGCTGTTCAGAGAAGGAAAAACAAATAAAAATAAAATAGTTATTAGAAATATTTTTTACTTGTAACAGTCTTTGGTGGACAAATTTGTTTGCTTGCCAAAGGTAATGGATAGCATATTGGTTTGCCACATCGTGTACTATTCACACAGATTGTACACCCGATTGAACAAGTTACATTATCCATATTACATCGTACAAAAACTTGCACACGAGAGAGTAGTTAAAGCACATATTCCCATATTCGAATTGGATGTTAATGGAAAACAATCGCAGTCAAGATTCGATGAACATGATATTCCTTGAGAATTACATGCAGTAAAATTACATGTTGCTGTTGTTGTTGAGTTAACTAACAAATAAATAATAAGAAAATAAAGAAAAATAATAGTCATTATTATTAATTACTTAGTTGTTGTTGTTGTTCTGATGTGTTTCTATCGTTGAAGAAAATTAAAAAAAGTATAGAATACGTAGAACTTGGTCCTTAATACTTACACTAATAGTAGCACGTAGAATAAAAATATAACGCTTGAACCCAAAATTTTCATCATTGTGTGATACTATCGTATGAATTATTAAGTAAAACTTAATAGCTACCAACTAAAATAATTCTTTTCTTATTTGTTTAGAAAAATCATGAAATGCACCTTCTTTTATATGTACAATCAGCGACTGAATTTTCAAGTGTGGTTGTGTAAAGGAAAAAAAATCTTCGAAAATCGCAACTTTACGCAATTACATATTTAATGGATGAAAAAAGAAAAACAGGAGAAGAAACAAATCGTTGCTACTTTCTTGCTAATAAAACAAAAACATTAATTCTGGCAGTTACTTTTAATAAATAAATGCGTAACCTCGGATTTTATCCGAGAGTTATGTGTACTGCAAAAAGCGGAAATAGACATTGACCTGTTTTTTATATTCTTAGTCAACAATAAACAGTTCTAACAGCAGTGTCAGTATATGTGAGTTTTTCATAGTTTTCGGATAGTGTAATGTTGAGGAAACCTCGAACGCACCATATTTACCCCCTATCATTATTCAAGGCTCTTCACAAATTCTATCTACTCCAAAAATACTAGGTAAAAGGAATAAGAGGAATAATTTTTAAATGAATTTGTGTTTGTATCTAGGGGAATTACGATCATAAGCAACCTCATGAATTTGTAAGAGATATATAATAGATACAGACATCAGTATTTTCATAATAACTCACTGATATTAATAGCTATCGAGTCCGGATTTTTACCTTTCAGTAGTCCTTTTGACTAGCTACAAAACCAGCTATTTGACAAATCTCAAAACTACTAGTCATCTGAGACATATCTAGGCAATTTGGTGTCTGGATACGGTTTTGTGCATTTTGAGACCTTTTTCATGCGATATTTTGTTAGAAAGCTACGATTTGGTTTAAAACTAATATCAGATTCGGAATCAGCGCTAAAAACTGAGTCGATTTATATATGGTGTGAATAATTTTGAGGATAATATTTTGTTTTGAAAAAAATCCCTGTACCCCCCCTCAGGGATGGTCTGATCAATAATGAGAATTTTTTTTATAACTCAGTAATGGTACAACCGATTGAGCTCATATTCGAACTCGACCGAGATATCAATGAGACTAAACTGTATAGAAAATTTCACCTCAATCTGATTCTCCTTTCGTGCGTTATCGTGTAAACGGCCGGACGGACGGACGGCCGGCCGGACACACTGACCGATTCTAGTAGTGTACTCACTTTTTGAGTACACAAAAAAAGCTCTGGGGTAAAAAGAAAATTGTAAAGCTTGAAATTTTCAATTCATAATTTTTTTTGTTGATGTGGTATGAGTCAAGCTGATGAAATCATTTAGTCTACCTTCGCCGACCGAAATTCGCCGAAAGTGAACTTCACCAGATCGATTATCGTCGAATAGATTTATCAAGAAAAGCTGGATGGGGATGTGGGTGTCTTGAATCCATGGCCCTCACCCACACTTGATAAATATTTTACTCTTGATGAGAAGCAGTTCAGCAAAATTTCAATGTAATCAAATTGATAGAAGAATGCATCCTCATTACATACTGTTTATATATAATTGCAAGGCATAGATAGCCATTAGAATGGCATATTTCATGTTTTTTTCTTTCTATTCCTCATCGTCAGCATCTTTAAAATACTCGATAAACACTTATTGCAATACTGATATTCTACACTTAACAAATGAATCTTTGAAAGTATTAGAAAGACGGTGTAAATAAATGCGTCGATGATTAGATGAAGCGTAATAGATTTTTTTGTGATCGAAGCTGTAAAAAGTATTTTTCATTTGCATCACGTATTATTTTAGAAACTAACAAGAAGAAAGAACGAAAAACGTGCTTTCGAGAATTGTCTATGTATAACATATTTTCATCTTCGTTTATTTTGTGTGACACTCTGAATTACTTGAAGAAAAAGTTTTAGGAACAGAATAAGATTATTTCAGATAAAACCTGTAATCAACTAGTCTAAAAATATTGACATCCGCAGCTTGAAGTGTGTGAGTTGTGGTAAACGCCAACCGTGAAGATGATCAAATACAATGGCACAAAAAAAATTATACGACTATAGTCAACCATGATGTCAAAAATTTTGAAGTTACATAAAAGCCCTATAAATTGCAACGAAAGCGCACCAAGTCATTATAATAAAATTGGTTTTTATCGAGTATTTTTATCGTCTCATTGTACTAACTCAAGAAAGGGCTAACATTATTTTTTTAAAGATATTCATACAATAGACAAAGATTCCAAAATGTATCTCATATATTCATAGAAACAAACCGCGAGTACATTCACTCTTTCTCTTTGTGTGTCTTTTTCTAATTGATCTCTCTCGTTATGATATATTTATCATACAATAAATTATTCAATCATCTTCAAAGAAACTGTCCAAAAAGAAGAAGAACTTTAAATTAATATAATAGTACATCTAATTAATCAATAAAATATTTCTATCGATTAATAATAAGTGTAGTATCATCATCAATTGCTTTGCAAGATCCTTCACCCTTAAGTATAATATTTGGCATTAAACGAGTAAATAATAATAAAAATGGTGAATCATTGATGTCACATCGTTGAATTTTGATATCGATTTCAAATCTAGATATTGTTGGATATACATTTATATCAATAATTGTTTCTTTTCTTGGAATATCGAATTGATTTTGAACAGTTAATCCAATATACCCTAATGAAGAAATTCGAATATCATAAGATAATACATGTTGAATTCGAATTCTGTAATCTGAATAATTATTCTTCATCGATTCGATTTGAATATGTTCAACAGCTAATTGACGATTAAAACTATCATCAAATGTACAATTTGTTGAGCTAAAACATGTTTTATTATATAATTTATGACCACTTTTAATCGAAAGTTGATCAAGTATAGGTGATAGAACAAGACCATGATATGTATTAACTGTAATTGTTGATTGTTGTGATATAAGTAAAGCATTAAATGAATTATTCATTGAAGTTTCTGCATTATAAATTGATTTTGATATATGTTCAGCATAAAAAGTATTTGGATGATTTTTCGTAAATGGTTGACGAATACAACATATAATAAGAACAATAAAGAAAATAACTAAAAGAGTAATTAATAAACGAATAAATTGTTTTGTTTGTTGTAATATTGGAAGGAAAAATAATGTCGGAATAACAACAATACTACAAATAATTAGATTTCCACGAAGTATCCATCCAAATGAAAATAATGGTGTTACCATTGGGATAAAAATACGAAGTAGTCGATTAACTATTTCAATTGTATGTATCAATGGAAAAAAAGATATTAACAATGGTAAATATAGCTGATGAAAATCTTTTCCAAAGATTTGTTTCCAATGAAGAATAAATTCAGTAATAATCAGAATAAGATATAATGGACAAATAAATATTGACCAAATAAGAATTATATAAAAGTATTGAGAATTGGAATAAATTGAAATAATCATTAATAAACTATAAATGATGAGAACGGAAATATTTTGTTCAAAATCGAAATGAATTTTATTCAAATGTTTAGTATTGTATTCAGATGATTTTTGAGAGCATTTCCGAAGAATACAACGATGTAATAGATCGAATAAATATCGAAAAATAATAAAACCAATTAAACATGGTAAACTAAAAAGAAATATGGCTAATGTTGAATTACCATGCCATGAAGTAGGTTGAGTTTTTGATAGAATCCATGCTAAAATCAATGAAAATACAAGGCCAACAATCATTGATAGAATATTAGAGATTGAATATATCATAATAGAAATAATACGAATAATTAATGGGTATTTAAATCGAAAATAGATACAATGAAGATCATTACATGAGAAATTTTGTTTTCGATGATATATATGATCGAATATAATTCGAATAATACCAATAATAATAATTAAGATAATTAAAATTTTTTGAATTAATATTGATGTTGATAATTTATAGATCATCAAATATCGACTAAGAATATCAAAATAAATTAAAGGATCTGCATCGTTAATATCGTTTATCTGTTGATTATGCTCAAGGAGGATATTACGAATTAATATAGCAAGATTATCACCGAGATCTTGAATAACACCTTGTTTAAATGTTGATAATTGATCTAGTGATGTATGATATGTGTATCCATCAAGAAAGTAACCAAAATCGTATCCTAATCGAGAATAACTTAAATTGAAAATATCATAATCACTACGGAATCGAAGCCATCTAGGAATTTTCTGTAGGATTACATTAGCACGTGGTCTTGCTACTCGACTATAATCAATGACAAGCTAGAAAAACAGTTCATAGAAAGTGAATTAGACTGAAAAACAAATACCTGTGATGATGTTGTTCGTAATAGATTAGCTACTTCATTGCAATTACTTGAATCAACATTAAGAAAATGACGAACATTAAAACGCCAACGATGATTAGCAATAAATGCCTTGGAACCTTCTAATCTTGTCTCTTCGGCATTTGTGAATAGTATAATTAAGTGAACATTAGAAAAATTTATTGTTAAATCGTTGATTAAATTTGAGAGAAGTTCAAGTAAAATAACAATACCCGAACCATCGTCAGCAGCTCCTGAACTAAATTCCACTATTAAAACAAAACGAAAAGAGTTTTACATCAAATGATTAAACTTCTAAACGTACGTACCTGAATCGTAATGAGCACTTAACATTAGACTAGGTATATTTTGAAATTTATTAGTTGTATTTGACACACGAACAAGAATATTTTGTAATTGATTGTGTTTATAATTAGTAAAATTTTGAAGATCAAGTTCACATTGAATATGTCTTTTATTCATTGAACAAATACGTTTTATTTGTAAAATAAGATAATCACGTGCATCAAAATTTCCACGTGTATTACTTACTCTTGATCCATATTGAGTTAAATTACTTAGATAATCAAGAGCACGTTCTTCACTAAATATATGACGTGCACTTGTTCGTGTTTTTACTGTTGGTACTGAATAGGATAGATGATGTGCAAATGGACCAGCAAGAAGTAAAAGACAAATTAATAAAACAAACCATAAAATAAATTCTTTGAGATGCTGATTATTATGTGATTGTCGATGAATTTGATTGGTATACGAAACTTGGGGTATAAAAACAGTTTCTTCTACTATTTCATTCATTGATGATTGTTATTTATGATGTGTCTGAAATATTTTTTTTCCAATGTGAAGAAAAAGATAAGAAGTAATAAAAAAACTTGGAAGAACAGTAAGAAAAAGAATAAAGGAGTGCAGTATGTAGTTTCATATTCGATATGATAAGACACTGCTTTTGACTATTGTGTATGAGATAAGGTGGGATAAAGTTATTATTCTATGAAATTTTCATCTTTTTCTTTTCAAAGAAATATAATCAAGAGAAGTACTGTTGTATAAACGGATAAAAAGGCATGATTATTAGAAATTTTAATTATCTTTATTCAATCTAGTGAGTGTGGGGTAAGTGACACGCAAGAGCATGATCATTTAAAGCTACTCAACGCTCTCACACGCATACACAGATAAAAAAAAAGATGAAGATAATAATAATAAAAATATACTAACATTTGCTATGTTGGCTGTCAATGCCCTTTTTATTTCTTAAATTCTCTTCCTCTTCATACTTGGGTTTTTATAAGGAGCCAAAAACTAAAATCATTCGTTGTGAGTTCAGCGACTACGTTATCGTTAAATTTTCTTCTCACGGAATGGTTTATATCTTTATTAAAAGCATACAGATGCTTGTAATTGCATAGTTTACTTCTATCTTACTTATTCAATTTTGTTTTCATTAACAGTAGATGGACAGATTAAAATAATATTCTTTTCAGTTATTTTATCATAATAAATATCAATACTTAAACAACAATTTAATGTATGACAAAAACGAAGAGTTGTTGTTTTTCTTTCGAAACTCACTCGATAAAAAAGTAAAAGCCATACAGTGAAGTAATTTCACAAATGAAGGCAAAGAAAGGTTGGAAAGAAAAATAATGTAGATAACCGTGTGAAATAAACATTAAATTTATCCTAAAAAGCAACAACTCCACCATATGTAGCTAAAATAAATACATGATCAAAAACATGTGCGACAGTCAAATGTACTTAAGATAAATGTGCATAATTCCGAAATAAAAATTGATGAACTTTTGTGGATGGAAAACAACATTAATTATGAGATAAAATATTTATTATTTTAAAAGAAAATTATTAATTTATGTACAATTTTATCTTTATCGAATTATTTCAATTTAATTTTTATAATAGATATTAAATATTTTAAAAACATCTTGAGGATATAGGTGTGGAAATAAAGATATCAGTTCAGACATCAACATATTCATAAGACTTTTAAATATTTGTAAAATCTCAAAAAAGAAAATAAAGATTTTTTTATCTTTATATTTGAAAATAGATAAAAATATCGAAAATGTTAATCAGAAAAATAACAGAAAAATTAATTAAACAAAGAGATAAAATAATAATTCATCTCTTCTCTTTTCTTCCAAATTATCATTTAGATTTTATTATATAAATAATATAGTCCGTTACACTTTGCCGACAGGTTTTATTTGGGTGTAGGTATTATCTCTTTACTCTTACCTACACCTACACCAACCCTTAAAAACACCTACACGAATACGAGATGAAACAATAATAAATAAAACAAAGGAAATTGATTCAAGTAACTGTTAAAAAATAAATATATCAAGAATTCGATTGAAATAAACGATGAGTGAAGATAGTCTACTTTTCCTTTTTTGTTTTGTTTTTATAGTTGTTAGATATAATAAATAAGAAAGAAAAAACATGTAAGTTAGTAAATGTAGATAAAAGAGAATTAGTATTTTTCTTGTGTGATTGCATTTTCTCTATTTATTAAAGTTTAATGGGTTTGTGAGGAAGAGAATGGAGACATTGATAAGGCCCAGACCCACACCGAATATTTTAGTTTTCATGTTGTAAAAACGATCATCTGGACTATTACACTTGCATTTCTTAGCGTTTCCAGTTACGAAGAACGGTCCATGATTTGATCATGTTCGATAGATATTTACCCAACCAGGAGTCCTTTACAAATGTATTATAATACTGGCTCGAAGGTACAATATAGAGAAAGAAAATACTTGTTTGTGGTGCGAACGAGATGTAGTAGCTAAGTAAAGTAATTTTGGGGAACCATGCATTGCTATCATAATCACAAGCATTCAGAAAAAGAATCACGATCTCAGCTAACTGTGCTATGAAACAAAAAATCGGACCCAGCAGGAGATCAATTAGTTTGCGTGTTTCATCGATTAGAGCATTGTGTGTGGATTTTCCATGAGCATGTACCTTCGATCGAGTGATTGTCAAAATGATGATCAATGCTGCGGTAATGTTAATCAGAAAAGGAAGTGCCTGATGAGTTAAAGCCAAAACTTGCGTCAAAACTTGCGTCAAAACTTGCTCATTCTGTGGAATTTCACGAATACACCAAGGAAATGAATAATCGGGATGATTGACTAATTTGTATTGAGTAATAAATATGTAATTTGAACTTGAAACAATCAATACAATCCCCAAGATCAATGAAACTGCTTTCTTTGGCTCTTGCAATAAAGACCATCGAGAATACTGTACTGCAGCCAGTGCTCTTTGTACTGTAACTATAGCCATTAACCACAAAGTGACATAGTAGAAAGTGTACATGAGCATGGGTAGACTCTTGCATACGACTGTATTTACTTCATTCGAGATTATGATACGTCGTACCATATAGAGATAGCTGATCCGTACTAGTAACAATATCAGCACCAACAAACTAAACACTGACGTTGCCAGAAGATGAAGAGCCACTCCGCTGTTACGAAGTTTTCGTTGTGCGAAAGTGATGATTGACAGACAGTTAAAGAACATTCCGATGATGAAGAGAAGTATCGGTGCGATAAAATGTCCGCGACCCCAGTCCGTTTTTTCAATGAGAAATTCTAGTGAGATAAAGAAACGGCTAGGTGAAAACTGGCACAGCACACCTGTTACACATTTTGGACACACGCAAGCAAAATCAGTTCTGTTTGTTAGATCACCTTGAACACAATGACCTTGATTTTGACAATAGCTACATACCGTGTATCGTCGTTGATAAGAAAGACAATTACTATGATTTTTATTCGGATAACCACAGTAACAGAGATATCCATCAGATATAAAGCAAGTACCATAGGTGAAATTTTGGCAAAAATTACCAAACAAGGTAACAGCATGTCTTCGATTATCGAGTAGAAGATGACATTTGTTTAGTTGTAGATCAAGATCAACGGAAAAGTTTCTCATAGAATTAGAACAATTAATAAAGAGCAAATATAATGTACTCTCGATAGAGTGTGTATTTGGTTCAAAAGTGAAGAGTAATCCGATTTCAGGTTGTTCTCCAATTACATAATGAATATCGCGAGTTTTAATCGTTTGAATCATTGGAAACGAGGTCAGTGACTGAATGAGGATTTGTTGACGAATCGTCGGATAGTCTCCTGTAAGCTGGAGTAATTGCAAAAGAAATGGTGATTGATTCGGCTCTTGTCGTTGAAGACTAATCACTGGTCTGTTAGCATTACAACTAGATGTGTTACAGATACAAATATGTCCATATATAGGAGGATGTGATCGTGGAATGCAAGTTTCATTCCGTTCACAGTTGTATTGTTGACATTTTAGATTTTGAACGTAACAATAAGGTTCGAGGTAGCCTTGCGGACAAACACAGATAGTTTCTGTTCGTGCCAGTGAATGTGATGCACAATGAATGTTCTCAGTTCTCATCTCGCACAGTTTACCTTTCCAACCGTATGCACAAATGCAAAGAAATCGGTTGTCCTCTTGTTGATGACATGTTCCATTGTTTTCACAATAGTTGTGTGAACAAAGCCAGGGAAATGAACGAGCAGGAAATCGAAGCACTTTGGCAATACGTAGCACAGGTAAAAAGTCCAGTGGACTAACAGGATATTCCCAGAAATGGATTAGTTCTGTAGAATTATAGGTTTCAATTCGAACAGAATAAATACCCGGGGGTTTCGGACGAGGATAGATCAAGTAGGTTATAGACTTCGATGAGTACTCTTTAGCTTCATCAAACAAAAATCGATAATCAACTACCGTGCTTCCATTCAGAACGAGTGTGATAAGAACGTTCAAAATAAATGGAAGATCAGGATGATAGCCTCGGTCGAAACGAAGCTGAATACCTACTCGTCGACTGTTGTATTGACATCGATCGCCGTAAAAAGCCGGCGGACAAAAGCAGACGAATTCGGAGCTATCGACTGTTTGTAGATAAAAACCTCGATTACAGTATAAGTTTCGGGTATCTAATGCTTTCACTTGTTGATTTGAGGATGATGATGGGACTGAAAGTTTGGTGTGGGATTCCAATTGATTATAACATCTTTTTTTATTATCAAATACCAGTCTATCCTTACTGGAGCGATAGACATAATTTTCATTGGTAGATTTCGGACACCAGAAACGATGCGACTTATCATTGCATGTTATGTCTGCTGTACATCTCGTGCTCTTGCAACCTTTTCGGTCTGCACAAGAAAACTGGCCAACAGGGCAATAACCAGTATTCCAATAGCAAATTGACTCATCAGTTTCATCTATACAGTCCTTGATTCCATTGCATATTGCTGTGTAATCGATGCATTTCCTTCCATTATCGCACAAGAAACGATCACCAACCATCCGATGATCAGGGCACGATACAACATTTCGTTCATCACGAGCTCCAATACAATCAATATGCCCGTTGCCTACCTGATGCCAAGAAATACAAGAACGATTCAAACTTTGATTTTTCACATAGTCATCAGTGATGCAGAAAAACTCACTGCTTTTGTTGCATTTTACTTCGAGATTCCAAGGTGCCCATGGTAAAGAACAATTTACTTCGTCTTCACCATCATCACAATCGAATTCACCATCACAAAAATATTTTCGCTCGATGCATTGT